GCGGGGCCGAGCCCTGCAGGCGGTGCTTGGGCCCGGGGGGCGGCCTCGACGGACTCGCGAAGGTTCCAGAGGCGTCGCGTGCGGGAGGCGGGCCGAGATCACTTGCAGGGCCGGGTGTGCAGTCAGGCCGCGGCCACTGTGAAAGGTGCCGGTGCGGTCTGCGCTCGGGGTGAGCGCGGTCAGTGCGGCGTTTCCTGTTCTCGCCCCTGCGCCGCTGCAGCTGGGGCCTTCCCTCACGCAGCCAGAGCATGGCTTCAACTGTGGAGGAGGTAAGGGGGTCCGGCCTTCATCTTCCTCGCTCGCCCTTTCTGGAGCTTTACGCTCCGTCTCCCGCCCCACCGCCGGTTCCCGTGCGGAGCTGCCCAGCGGCCGCACGCGGCACCTGCCTGTCGGACCGCCTTCCTGCGTACTCGGGTTCCCGCGCTTCCCCTCGGCCTTCCACCCGCCCAGCTGCAGCCGCCCCGTTGCCGACCCGGCCACTGCGGGCCTCGGGGCCTTCGCTTTCCCCGGAAAGTTGACGATCGATGCCCCCGGCTCAGCCTTGGTCGGCGGTGTAGGTGAGCGCGGGTGTGTGTCGTGGTTCCCGGCGGCAGGTAGGTCCGATGGTGGACCTGAGGGCTGGTCACCTTCACGTTATCCTCAGGCCCTTTCCGACCGCGTTACACTGGCCTGAGGACGTGAAGCGTCGTTAAATTAAAGCTGATTACAAAAACTGAGTGTCGTTCCATGGTAGAGCGCAGTTGGAAGGTGAGAAGTCTTCGGTCCCAGCACTTAAATTCTCTTAGTCATCTTTTGTCTACACAGACTTTGGGCAAGTTATGGTGCTTCTCTGGGTCACAGTATCCTTTTCGTAGGGTTGTAAAGAGCAAGTAATAGTTCTAAATGTTCAAAACAGTGCTTGACATAACACTCTGCTATAGGCGTTTTTAAAAGTAAATTGTAAAGTTAGTTTTAACTAGTGGTGGGAAATAGCTTTTTCTCTTTTAAGCTCTTTAAACAGAGGCAGCTTAACTTTTTTGGAGACTTAGTTTGCACAGTTACAGCATGGAAATAATAAACTTGGATTGCTCTTTTTTTGACTTAAGATGACAGTACTGTTATTCACAGTAAAGTGTTGGGTATCCATTGACTAGATTTGTTCTCTGGAAATCTTTTTGCTTAATATGAACAAGAGTGGGAAATCTCACATTTGACTTTTTAAGTCTGAGAATTTGCTTTAAATGAAGAAAAAGTATGTGTGTTATTCTGGATAACTTGCCACAAGTTTGTTAGGTGTTAAAGATTGGCCTTGTGATACCATGTGCCCTGAGGAAAGAATCTCTGAAGTGACTACGGTCCTACATTTGGCGTGTTCAGTATTAATCCTCTTTAAAGTAAGGGGCTTTCTAATTGCGGTGTATACATTTAGGGACACTTTTTTTGTTTGTTGGAGATGAAATTCAGTTTTTAACCATTTTAAAGTGTACGGTGCAATGCTTTTTAGTATATTCACAATGTTTGTGCAATCATCACCATTATATAATTTGAGAGCATTTTCATCAACCCCAAAAGAAACCCATTAAGTGGCCATTAAGCAGTCACTTCCCATTACTCCTTCCCATCCAGCAGCCACCAGTCTACTTTATGTCTCTATGGATTTGCCTATTCTGAGCATTTCATACAAATGGAGATTTACAATGTGTGGCCTTTTACTTTCTGGCTTCTTTTACTTAGCATAATGTTTTCAAGTTCATCCATGGTGAAACATTGTATTTCTTTTTATGGCAGAATAATCTTTTTTATGGATAAACCACATTTTGTTTATTCATAAATTGATAGACATTTGGATGATTTCCACTTTTTGGCTATTATGAACAGTGTTGCTATGAATACTTGTGTTGTACAGCTTTTTATGTGGATATACGTTTTCAAATCTGTGCATATATATCTAGGAGTGGAATTGCAGGGTCATATGGTAACTAACTTCGAGAAACTGCTAAACTCCTTTCCAAAGTGCATCATTTTACATTCCCACAAGCAGTGTATGAAGCTTCCGATTTCTGCACATCCTCGTCAAGACTTATTTGCTGGAGTTTGTTGTTCGTCATCCTAGTGGATGTGAAGTGGTGTATCATTGTGGATCTAATGTGCATTTCCTTAATGCCTGATGACGTTGAGCATCTTTTCATGCGCTTGAGGACCATTTGTCTGTCTTTGGAGAAATGTCTGCACAAGGTCTTTGCCTATTTTGAGGCACTTTGGTTTTATTGCTTCCTAGTGAAGAATTTGGAAATAGATTAGAAGAGAAAGCTTTAATGTGTTTATGGATAGGGATAAAAGGGAGGTGTGATTTTGCATAAGGAAAACAAGTGAATGCCTAGATAAATTAGGTAAGAAATGCTGTATCTGAGGCATCTTAAATATGTGTACAGGAAAAGTACCAAAGGGATCAATTTTACTGGTTTCAGATCTGCAAATAACAGAGAAGAACTGAGGAATTACCTTAAACAGGCCTGCTGTAAATTGCTTCAGACTTACAGTGGATATCTTATTTTTGTAGTACTGTAGAGCCAAACTGGCTGTAAAGAGGGCCTGTGGATCTCTTGCTTAATTCTCAGTTCTCTTCTGAGTCTCCTAGAAAAAGGATTCCTATTCCAGTCAAGAAGTAAAACCTTTTGTTTAGACTCTATACATTTACTTTTTTTTTTTTAACTAAATCCATACTCTGGAAACAAAATATACTCATTTAACATTTTAATTTTTTTTTCATCTTGTTATTAGAATGAATGTGAATTTTGAAAGCTATTATAACAAAAAGGATTGCTTTGCACTAAAAGCATCTTGGTTCTATGCTTGAAAGATGAGTTTGCAATTTTTTTTCTTAATAATATGAGTTTTGGGAGGTGGGGATAGAATTTGGGCAGGAGACTGGGCACAGTTGGACTTTTTATACCAAGTTAGCAGTTACAGATAGGTGAAACAAGGGCATCTGAGTTAAATGAGATAAAAGACTTGGGATAAAAGAAAAGCATTTGTTTTTCTGGTTTGCATTTTCTAAGACTCAAGAAATGTAAAGACTTTCGAGCTGTACTTTGGATATTATACTAAGTTACCAAGCATTTAAAGATTTTTATATTGAGCCTTACATGATCTCAGGCTATAATGTCAAAGTCTTCCTGTCAGATTGCTAGCTAGTATCAAGCCAGAATGTAAAGTCATTTTAAGAGAAATGAATCCCTTGTTTATAAAGATCTCATGCATTTGCAGTAAGTCAGAGGGTAACTGGGAAAAAGTTTTTAAGCCCATTAATTTTCTAACAGTGTCTTTAACTCTTAAATTAACACAATGTTGACTCTGTCTCTAGAAAGTAATAGAAATAGACTTGGGTAGGCAGTGTATTGGCGTGAGAAGAAAAAAACTGGTGGCTTTTTCAGTGATCCAGGAGTGCATTGCATGTTGGATTGTTTGTCCAGGTTTTCATCCTCTACTGTGCAACCAAGTCCCAGACTTTTGACAGTAAGATTAACCAGGAGCTTTAGAATTAAGAAGTTGTCTAACTTCTTAGAAGAAGAAATATGTCTTTATTTTATCTTTTGTCTTAAAAATTTAAACTTTCTTATGTGTATTACTTGGGGTAGGAAGATCAGTGAGTACGCATCACTGACGGAAAGTAGAGTATTACCTCAGTCAAGTTGCTGTAGCATTTCACCACACTTACCATGTACTCACTCATCTCTTTTATTTAAATACTTAAAAAATTCCTAATATCTCTTGACTAGGACTGGATGTTACAAGGAAATCCACGATTCCCTTTTGTTGGATTTCTTCATGTTATAATCAGAAAATGTTTATAAATCACACTCGTATCTTGTAAATAAAATGTTTTAAAACAAAGGCAGATAACAGTCTACCAAACTGGAAAAATCTGGCTTGATTACCTATTGTTACTTCAAGATTAAGTTTTCCTTTTTAAAAGAAAGGAATCTTGAGTTATTTACAATTCAGTAGGCTGGAGGAAAGAATCCTTGTTGCTACCCAACCCTAGGAAATTTAAATGAACCTCCTATTCTTAGCTCTTATTCAGTAAATTGAAATGACCAATATGCACAATATCAAACTATTGTCTTATTTATCATAGCTAACTTATCTTTTATTTTAACACAGCTACAGAAAGATCTAGAAGAGGTAAAGGTGCTGCTGGAAAAAGCCACTAGAAAAAGAGTACGTGATGCCCTGACAGCGGAAAAATCCAGGATTGAGACAGAAATCAAGAATAAGATGCAGCAGAAGTCACAGAGGAAAGCAGAACTTCTGGAAAACGAAAAGCCAGCCGCTGTGGTTGCTCCTATTACAACAGGATATACAGTGAAAATCAGTAATTATGGTATGACTCGCCCCTACATACAGCTCTATAAAGTTCTTTCTGCCTCTGAGCAACGTATTCCTTAGTGACCCACTGACAAAATCAATTTTTTAATAGTTTTGAGTGTTTGTTTTTGGTGATTTTAAAGAGAAGACCCATTAGTTCTTATTTAATAAGATGCTTTTTAAGATATTAAAAAGAAAATGCTGCATTCTATAAGCTAATTCATTAATAAGAGAGCAAGATGATTAGTACAATGATGAGTAGCAAGAAGGAACCTATTCTGAAATATATTCAGTATATATGGACACAGCTTTTTGTTTTGTTTTTCTTCCTGTTTTGCATTTCTGTTTGCCAAACAATCACCGATATTAACTGAGGAAGAGAATCCAGTTATATTCAAAAAACATTTTTGAGCACCTAGTCTGTGCCTTTATTGTACTTGGACTTGCGGATACACAACAGTGAGCAAGACCCAATCCCTGCTCACGGTGTGGTTGGGACATAGATGTACAACTAATACCATAACAATGTCATAATACCATTTTCCCTAAATTGATTATAGACTTTTTTTATTTTGGAAGCAATGCAACTTGAAGTCTGAGTAATGAGCTCTCAAGAGGGCAGGGACAGTCTTATTTTTCTTTGTGCTCACAATATGTAGCACACAGTAAGTACTTAATAAATGTTTCATTAACTGAATAGAGATTTATAAAGTATTATGAGAATATAGCTGATAAAGTAATTCTGCTGGAGGGGAGGAACAGTCAGGGAGAATTAGAAGAGACATTTGAGTTTAAAAGGTGAGTTCATCAAGTATGAAGAAAAGAAGAATTGCATGAGCAGGGCTTCCCTGGTGGCGCAGTGGTTGAGAGTCCGCCTGCCAATGCAGGGGATACGGGTTCGTGCC